TTCTAAAGTAATCAATCGTTTGACAATTGCAAGCTCTAAAATAACCAATCGTATAGAGTTTATATTATGATTACTTTAGAACTTGTAATTGTCAAATGACTGACTCTGGAGGGGGGCTATATTTACGTAATAAGTGGAAGTTCCCTTACTGTTTCAATTTTTTTTTGTTAATTTGGATTTAATGTATGTTTAAATATTAGATTCAATAATTCGTTCTCACAAACAGACGGATGCGGGATTTTAGCTTTCAAATAAACGAATACTGTAATGTTTGGATCAACCTATACATTACATATTATAGCATATTGAAATATATATATATATATATATATATATTATACGTAGCATCACGTTACTACGCACATACCAAAACCAGATAAATGAGAGATTTAAGGTAATACAAATATCAGTATGGTATGTAACGTGTCCAATTACTACATATTGATCCACATATTGCATAAATCGTATTCTTGATATTTTTATAAATTCTATCTCTAAAATGCATCAAAAAGGTTACCCCTAACCGGCACGGCTTTAGCCGTCCCCCAAAAATAGAATTTTTTTTTTTTAAGGCAAAAAAAAATGCGATCTGCATAATAAATTATACTGCATAATGTATACGATACGTAGATGTGTTTACATATTAATACATGTATGCATACAATCTTGATGACGAAATCCCTTTTTGACAAACAATAATTAAAGAATTATAATCGCTTTTGTTGTTAAATTTCGGTTAACCGCTATCTTTATATTTAGATGAAACAGAGCTTTCGATACAATTAGTTTAGATGGAACAAAACTTTCGATACAATTACAGTAGTTTTAGATGAAACAGAACTTTCGATACAATTAGCAACCAATTGAATTATAAAATTAGATCAACCGATTTATCTGATTTCGGACCCAATAATACAAACAAAGACAAAACAGGAAAATTAATATTCCGGTATTAAATAGTCAAAAACCTAAATTGATTTTAACAACACATGGCATCTACCAAATGATGTAAGATAAACATACAAGTTATGATGAGTTGAGTTTCTATATTAAAAGACATTCTCAGTAATTATACTTTAGTAAATAAATCTAATATCAGTTTTATAATATAAAAATCAGTATGATGTGAAGAACGTCGAGCAAATGTATTACAACAGTAATTTAAATGGTTCCCAAAATCAAAAGTTCCAAAGTTTCACAAATACAAATGTATTAGCACACAATCGCCATTTACGTCTGCCTTGTCATCTTTCCATGACAAATAAATGCTAAAAATACCGAAATAAATTATTAACAAATGTTTAATATGTTAATTTTATATTGAAATGTTTATGTGAGAATTATTTTGCGGTACCTTAATAGACCAATAATGGATATGTAGGGCAAATATATAAAATGGCTTCTAACTGCTCTTTTTTAATTTGAGCAATCTTTACCGACCCCGTGTCCACCAAATTTTTTTTCCCTTCCGTGACCTTAAACTTTTGACATACATTCTTTTGTCAATGAAGTATAAGGCAGGATATACCCTTCTTGGTCTAATATGGCTTGGTCTTTTAACATACACAACATCAACACCTTTATCACCCGCACCGAACCAACATTTAGATATTACTCCTAGAGATCCGCGTAAAAGATACAAAAAGCATAGACCATTTAAGAATTTTTATAAAAATGGTTATAAACCTATCAACAAACCTTCCAATTCAGATTCCAATTCAGATTCCAATTCAGATTCACACCCCTCAGATTCACAACCCGTGGACACATCCTCCCCCTCTACAATAAACATTCCTAAATCTAATCCCACTGATTTATCAATCCATCCTACTGGCGCATCATCTGGTACTAAACCAACTGGCACATCATCATCAACGGGTACTTTATCCGCACTACCTAAAAGTACAAATCGACCAGCTAACCTAGCTTCAGTAGGTACTCTTTCTCCCGGTATTTTCCAACCCTTTTTACCGCTTGAAAAAACAAATGGGCCAGTAACTCGAAAATATACATTTACATGTAAAAGAACTCAATTGGCTCCCGATGGTTTTTCTCGTGTTGTGTGGGCTGTAAATGGACAGTAAGTTATTAATTCTTGTACGAATCACTTTTCAATCTATTAAAAAAAAAAAAAAAGTTGAATTTTAGTTTTTCTTTTAAAAAAGGTATCCTGGTCCAATTATTCGTGCAAACAAAGGTGACAAAATGGAAGTAACAGTGATTAATGAACTTGAAGATCCAACAGCCAGTAAATACTCCCTACATAATATGATTTTATTTCATTTTCATTTAATTTAAAACTAACATAGCCTCTATTTAATCCAAGTTCATATGCATGGAATCTTTATGAGAAATTCTACATGGTTCGATGGTGTTCCTGGACTGTCTCAATGTCCTCAGATAAGCGGAACAAAGTTTACATATAGTTTCGATGTTGACCAATACGGAACTTATTGGTATCATTCTCATTTTGTGGCTCAATATGTTGATGGAATGAAGGTAAATAATTGGTTGATTAATGAGATATTATACAAATTCAAATACGTTAAAAACAATTATAACAATTATTTAGGGTCCAATCATCATTCATGATCCGGATGATCCATATCTAAAATCATATGATTACGAATATGTGATGACTGTAAGTGATTGGTATCATGATCCAACCGGAAATTTCATGCCCACTTTTCGTAGTGGTGAGTATGATGTTTTGCTATTTCTATTTATTTTCATTACATTATTATAATTATTATTCATAACTGTTATTAAAAAAAAATTTATAGTCAAGTATCGAGGCGCTGATCCTGTTCCTGATTCTGGAGAAATAAGTGGTGTAGGGCGTTATGATTGTAGCAAAGCTCCAGGAGGTTCATCATGTAAAGATAATGGATATGCTATATACAAGGTCCAACGAGGCAAAAAATATAGATTTAGGATAATCAACACTAGTGCCATGGCTCATTTCACCGTTTCTATTGACAATCACCCGATGACAATTATTGAAGTCGAAGGAACAAATGTCAAAGAACATACTGTTGAATATCTTCCGATTAACATTGCTGAACGTTACTCCGTAATCATTAATTGCAATCAGACAGTTGGCAATTTTTGGATCAAAGCAATTATGGCCCGGTGTAGCATTCCCTACAGACCGGGAGATCCTGGAACAATCAACTCTAATTCTGCCATAAATTACACCGTCTTAGGCATCCTTCGTTATGAGGGTGCCCCTGAAACCAATCCACAATCTACTGGGTTCAGTATTCCTCCGCCAAACTGTTATGATCAAGATCCAAATACTTTGAAACCGTATAAACCTGAACCGCCTCCATCAGGTGATGTTGATACTATTGGGTTCACGGTCAATGTTGGTCTTTTACCGGTCACCGGCCTTTTAGCTGCGACGGTTAATGGGAAAGCATTCGTACCGGATTTCTCTTATCCAACGGTAAAAAGACTTAGAGATGGCATGGATCCTAGCAGATTCCTTGATACGGATAATGCATATGGATTTAATATCTCTAGTGGTTCACCAGTTGAAATTTTGATAAGAAATGTTGAAAATAGAACTCATCCTTTCCACTTGGTAAGTTTTGATTATTATGAACTACGTATGATACGTCAGGAAAACTCTCTAATTATTTATCTACAAAATAGCATGGACATGCGTTCTGGGTCGTTTGTACAGGCGAACCTGGATCTAATACTGGAGACCGATCAAGTTTAAATTGCAATTATGATGATCCTCCCCTGCGTGATATAGTAACTGTCAAACCAAGAAGGTAAAAATAATAATATAATAAAACTTTATTATCATATACTGTGATTATGTCTAGCTTAAATAATATGCACGGATCTAATTCCATATAAATTAATATATTTTTATACAGTTTGACAGCAATTAGGTATATAGCAGACAATCCAGGAGTCTGGGCTTTCCATTGTCATATTGAATGGCACGTCGAAATGGGAATGGTTGCTCAACTAATAGAATCACCCGACTTACTTGGACAACAACTCCGTAACATGCCCGAAGAAGTCTCGCATCTTTGCGACCAATTTGACAACACGAATGGACTATCTCATGACCCTTCTATGGAAAATGAAGTACCAGATGATTCATCAACACCACCGGATGATTCATCAACCCCATCGGATGATTCATCAACACCACCAGATGATTCATCAACACCACCAGATGATTCATCAACACCACCAGATGATTCATCAACACCACCAGATGATTCATCAAC